TATTATATGCGCGTCTAATGACTGCTTTAGACGATATATATATATATATATATATATTTCGCTACAGCATTAATTAGGAAATTATTGCCCATATAATTCTCCACGCACAAACCTAAGCATATGTAAATACGTCGTAATATAAAATTATACAGAGATTGATATTAATCTTAATGTAGCTCAAAAGTGGAAGTTTTCGAAGATTCCAAATTTATGAGATATTACGATGTAAATAACAACAATTGTTGGGAAAAGTTGCCACACCTTGGGAGCACGTATAGTACTAATCAAAACAAACAAAAAAGCCTTAACAAATATGAATCCCAACATCATTTATTTTGGAAATATAAGGCGTTCCTTGTCTGCGTCGGTAACAAAATAACGAATTGTATTGATAAACATAAAAAAACATGAGTCAAAAGTAATTCGGAAACAAATTTTTTCAACACTCTGTGTAAATATAAGACGTATTTATTATATCGTGCTTGAAATAGATTCGAATGAACGGTAAATGCTTTCCCGATCGTAAGCTGCGATACTGACAAAAGTGTTTTTCCCGACAAATTCCGCAAACGCACACATCTATGAGTGATGTGTGCGGTATCTTCAAGTCGCGCATACGACGTTCACATTGAACACGCGTTTTCTTGTGTAAATGGAGAGTGCAAGGTTGTCGCGTTTGAAAATGTAAGCGAAGTCCTTGACCGTAGCAGTCTGACGGCGAATGATCTTTGCATCAAGTGGGAGATATTCTCAGTATTTCAAATAGATGTAGTCGCAATGTTTTTCTGAAAATGTCTCGTAGAAAGGCGCACATTTTAAATATTACGGTCAATAATAGTTTTTGTTTTTAGCGTATCCCACATATATTATTTACATCGTAACCTTTCATAATTGCAAATAACCTTCAGAAATTCTCATATTGAGATGCACTGAAATCAATGTAAATATACAAATATTCGATATCGGCAGGATATATTGAGATGTACTCGGATACGAACGAATAGAGAGAGAGAGAGAGTATTATGCGGGTAACAATTATACAATTAACGTTACAGCAAAACCGTGGAGCACACGCTGTAATTGTAGATCTCAAAGATTGCAGTCTCATCATTCTGGACGATGTAGGGATAACGCGTGCCCGGGCGCATTTAATTACTCTTATTTTGCTGCAACAAACCGGCTTTCTCAAAAAGAAAAAGGAACGGGAGAAAAAAAGGAATGGTTGACGGAGCGAATGAGCGAACGATTTCGATCGCGGTTGCCGATTAAAAAATATGTATGCGCTCACGTATTGACTGGTCGGCAACGTGTACAGGTGCATCGATCATAATCACCGTGACAGGCTGCACGCCAATGCATATGCCGCTCGTGCAAATTTCGCGCAAACGAGCCGACGATAAGCGTGCAACGTGGAGTTAAACATGGTCCTCCCGTTGCGTCGCTTTCGTAAACGCGAATCCAAATTTCGATGCGGCGCGTTACAATTAAAAATATTCTCAACTCGTCATATAATATTCCGCGCTTGAAATCGCGCTCGAAATCTTGCAGCATTCGGAAAGTACGTTAATAAACGACGCGCATATCGCTCGGTTGAAATCAAAGCCGCGTCACTGATGACAATTAAAAACAGCTCCGCCGTTATTTAATGGCTCGTTTACGCGTTCGCGCGAAATGGACAGCGCGTTTACGGCAGAAATTCATTAGTGATCGGATAAGAACGAGACACGCATCGGCCCGCAGCCGCTCGTTGGTGGCGCGCGGGCAACACCCATTGCTCGAACTCGGCGGGGCAACCTCATCGTATTGGACATGACTCTGCATTCCGGGAAGGTATTATTATAGACGCCAATTAAAGTACCGGTAGACATTAATCGCGCGCGATGCACCTTTGGCAGATTAAACGTATCGTCGAGATAAAACGCTACTCCCGTTTACAGTTTGAAAAAAAAAAACCGCCGCAATTAAAGCGATGCATCTCCGGGGGTGATAAGGATTGTCCGCAATGAGATGTCCTCCGAGAAACTGCGCGCATCGATAGGAATCTCACGTGATGAATTTAAGAAAAATTAAGTTTCCCTTCACACAGACTCGTGTGTGTTGTTACTTTTACACGATGAGTCGCCGATCGAGCTTAATTATAGCGCAAAGAGCACTGTCGTTCGCACTATCGGTACGATTTCTCGGGAACACCGTCCGATTTTTTCGCAAAGTGCAACCTCACGCTGATAGTCACGCTGTATCGGTGATCCTTTCAATTTAGCGGTGCCGTGGAGCGCGGTAAGCTCGGCCGGCGAAAAATCAGGGTCCGCAAAAGGACGATGGCGAATCGCGAAGGTCTAATTACCTAAGTTAATTGGCCGGCATTGCTCGGCGGATGCATTATTCCGCATGACGCGGCACTTTCTGCCCGGTGCCCGCTTTTTCTCGCGCGCGCGCGCGCACAAAAGGGCGCGCGATCGCTCGGAAACGGAACCTCTCGCTGCGACGAGATCCTCAAACGACCGCAAAACTCGACGGATCGATCACAGGGGATATGGGGGAACCATTATCGCCAATATGTCAAGTTCATGCAAGTCAGTAGCATATCGGAAGAACGATTCCAGCACATGTGCAGATCCGGCGGGTTCGTAGCCACGTATCATACATTTCATCGGCATGTGAGGCACGAGGATTGCCGTACTTGTGCAAGGTCGTGCGTTTCTCGTACATTGCGACGTATATCGCGACGACGGACACGGAGAGTTCTTCTCTCCCGTCACTTATTGTCAACGGTAATTAAGTTTTTGCGCGAGACTTTTTGAAATTCACGGAATCTCATTGCTCCATTGAGATACAAAATGTACGTGGAATAACACTCGCACAGCTAATAATAAATTATTGAAATGTTCAATTGTCTCTTTTTCCTTTTCACGACCGGCCTGATATCAATAATAATTCCTATATATTCTTATATATTTTCGAAGTAGCAGGAAAACAAATGATTATCAGGCTGTATGCGACTCAAGGCCGACGCTGAGACGCGGATTAGGTTCCGATCCTTTTATATTTTACGCTCTCCACCTTCTACCCTGCGCCTTTAATGGCGTTCTCTCGAAGGCTGACATGGATTTCATATTCAGAAATTACCTGGTGTCAAGGCGTTTAATGGAAAACTGGTAGTGTCAATCTTAAGCGGACCGGCGCACGCACGTTCTCCGGGTAAGTATACCGGATCGAACGAGGCCGAGCCACACCATTAATCTCTCACACCTACCTGGTGTCTACGAGCAGCGCCTTTCTAACTTTTCATCAGACGGTCGAACAAGATAATGCACTTCTGACGTAGCGCTGCGTTCGAATTTGCGTGGCAACCGTGAACGTTTTGAGCGTTAATGTACTCTCTCTCTCTTTTTCTTTGCTGTACAGTCGGTGATTCTTCATTTTTAAACGAGGTCAGATCCATCCGAGTCTGACAATTAATAGCATGATCAAACTTCCGATCGTGCGGAATTATTACTCACGAGCTCGTAGCGCCGTCATTTTCGAGTATGTTGGCGCGTCCGACTACGTAAGTCGCCTTCCACTCGCTCGATGAGATAGCTTCCGAAGCCATTAATCTTTCAGTCTCTCTCTTTTCGTTCGAGTGCCTCTGAGGACTTCTGATTTGTCGCTCGAAAAGAACATTATGAGGCAAACGCATCTGTTATAACATGTAGAAATACACCAGACTTCACACAGCATTATCAAAACTTGAATTCGTATTTACAGGCGCGGTCTTCGCGATGTAATTATAAAATTATAATCGCTGATGCGTAATTGGATGACTTAAAAAACCCACCGTTAAGAGATCATTCGATCGTATATTACACGAATATATAAACGTCTGATCGTCGACGTTACTTAATCTTTTTCGACGTGCGGTTCTTAAATTTAACAAGTGCATGTTTATCTAAATTATGGAATGTAAAAGTAATCTTTCTTCCTACCTCTTAATCCTCGTAGCTGTACGCTATGGGTGTGGTACACGCACGTGCGTCTAGAAGTGGACGCATGGATGTGATATGCAATGCACGATCATCAACGTACCTTCGCAAGGTCAGTCGTCTCTCTCGAGCGACTCGTCGTAAGTGACCGGAGAGACCCAATGTGCGATACGGAACGAGCCGCCCGAGGTACCAGCAATCCGTAACCGGTAACGATATTACCTTAACACGACGTCGTGTTTTTAGTATAAGATACGAGAACGATCTCATACGTCTAGTGTGACGCTGACACCCTAGCGCCAGTGACGCGGATGCGAGTAATCTCATTAAAATTTGTAATATTATCAGACGCACTGCAACAAACACGACGGCCCGGTATTTCTGCCTTTGATCTGCCAGATTTGCGAATTCCCCGACAGCCCGGGCTTCTTCTCTTTTCAAATCAGTGACAATTTTAGTATCAAAACCGCGTTGCTTTTCAGAGCAGGTTAACGATTTCGGGAGGAAAAAAAGAATTGACGGCGACGATATGTGAAAATACGTATTGGTTCATGCCGAAAAAACTTTGTCTTAAATCAAGAATAGATATAAATATGTTTTCATATATAAATAAAAATATTTTAACTTTCTTAGAAGATTTTTAGTCTTGATTTGATTGAATTTGTATCGACGCAAATATTACTTGCACTCAATTCAAGACTAACAATCTTCTTCTTCTTCTTTTAGTGCCATACCTGTGTCCAGGCGTAGGCGACCTCTCATCTCTCATCAACAATCTTCTGAGAATGTTATAATATTCTTGCCTATACATAAGAATATCTATCATTGATTTAGAACTATTTCTTTCTGTGTAAAACCAACGAACCTTAGCCGATTGTCCAGGCCACTTATAATAAAATCAAATCAACATACAAAAAACTGATGTTGTACGATGGTATGTTTGAAAATGTGATTTTTCTTCTTATAGAGCTTTCTACGCACATATACCGGAAACTAAATTCGTTCGCAGAAAGAGTCACTTAATTTAATTTCGCAAGCTTAAAAATTATATAGTATTTTATTGCACGACAAGATTTCGGTCCTTACACAATACGATTTCCGACGTATTTGTAATAAAAATACATAAACATACGCGTAGACGGGATAAACGTGGACGACGGAGCGCGGCCGGATGTTTTCGAAAATACGCCGCGACAGATGTAATACGATGAGTAACGGTGACGGCTGACATCGCGAAGAGCGATATCAGTGCGAAGTATTTTCGTCACGTCAAGTTGGGCCGATCGTGAGTTCCCGCGCTAAGTATCCGCGCAAAAGCTCGTTGCGTGCCAAAAGCATCCGCTCAGAGATGACTGAAAATATGCCTTCGTTATGCGATGCGGTGCAGTGCGGCGCGGTGAGGAAAGAAGAAGCGAACCGCTTATTCACTCACGTGTCAATGATAAATACACACGCACACGCGCGTAGGCGTGCACGATAGATAGGCGTGCATTTATATCGATGTATCGCAATGATTGCATTGTCGTGTCTTCACGCGACGTAACCGTACGCGGCCTCGACAGCTGATAATTACTTTGCATTGAGAATATTTAATTATTTATGCAATTAACAAACACACAATTGTACAAGTTACGTCGCGATCAGCAGCGGCGCGTTGTACGTCGAAGACGAGAATTTCAGCAATCCGGTGCTCGTTCGAGTGTGGAATTTGTACGGTCAACGAATCGCCAGAATTCCGCACAATTTGCCCTTTCGCGGCGGTACCATTTTAGGAAACGATCGAATGCGTTTTCGTCGTGCGACGTCACGAATTCGCGTCACGGAATGACGACGGCGCGGACACTTACTGCGACACATTAATCCAAGGAGAGACGCGACATTCGCTACACTGTAACCGTATATTTGCTACATGGCTATTTTGGCCGCGAGCCGTTAATCGTTGTCGCGACCTGGACTTGAGAGCATCGTAGGAATGCCGTGTGGCCAACTTCGAGCCAATATATATATTCGAGGTTCGCGGTCCCTTTTTCTTGGCCTCCTGTTAAATGATTGTTACTTAAAATTACGAGCAACGCGTGATGAGGAAAGGAATTTAGCGTATAAATATTACACAACACTTTGCATATCGTTAATATCCATTTTTGTGTATCAAACATTCGATAAATACGGAGTTCTCTAAAAATGGGTTGCGATACAATTATCCTGTCGACTCGCGTCATCGCGTTGTATTTTTGTCTTACCTTTCACTTTTCCTTTTCGCACGGAACGCGCTTTTCCCGCGCTCGGCAAGTACGCCGTAAGCGTTTCTGCCGCGGCCTCCGATGCACAGTTTTAGCACTCCAACACCCGATGCCTAATTATAAGCGATTGCTTAGATTACGTAGAAGAGGAAATAGAGTCTCTCTCTCTCTCTTTCAAGAGAGAGAGAGAGAGAAGGGGGAAGATAGCATCGCGCGAAACATCGGAGATAGACACGGACAGGTTCCCTCGTCCGATTTACCCCGACGTACCGCGTATTTCATCTCGCACGGCACAATATCGCCCAGCAAAAAGTGACATCACGTGACACCGTTGCGCCTCATTAAGACACCGGTTCTTAGACGAGCTACGGAGCTGTCGGTTCCCCTTCGACATTTCGAATGCAAACAGACAAGTCGAGTTCACTGAGATGAGACCGCTCGTTCACGCAAAGAATCCCGAAGAAGAGGAAGAAGGTGCGAAAGAGGTGAAGAAGTCGCGTTCGAAGAAGGACGCGCGCAAAAATGATCCGATCGTAATTAGAGGGTGTCATTGAAACACGCCTGTTTTACGCTCTCTGCGAACTATGTAGTGGCTGCATCAATATTTAGAAGCAATTAAGGCATACCGCGTGCGCATTACTATCGCTGACTCATTATTTACACCAGACTGGCGCGCTGCTACCTCCACCGCAGTTACTGTTCTTATGGCGAAGCATCCTTACCTCTCTGCGCGAGTAGCGTCATTAATCTCTGACACGTGCGCAGAGGTGTGGACATTCGCTATTTAGCTGAGTATCATTCCAACGCGTTTAGGCCTGTCGGGCACGCGCGCATACTGGTTATACATCAAACTAGTCGGTGAAACGTACGCGCGCCTTCGCCGATCTCCGGGTCTCGGAAGTGCCATCGTAATCAATTAAGAGACCCTTCCACTCGTCGAGTGCATTTTTCCGCTCAGTCCACAAGAACGAATCGTACATGAAGAACTACGCGATTGGAATACGTACGCTCGGATAATTGTTTGTTGCAGACTGGCTGTTCTTTAACTGAGGACTTCTCTCCGCGTGAGCACTTGTTCTATTGTTCTTTTGTATAACAAAATTTTCAGCGTGTTATTATTTTTCATATCGGGTTCGTCAGCTTTCGATACTCGCTTGAGCTTGCGCATTTTACACGCAGCAACATAACGTTAATAATAGCGTAACGATGCACTCGGCGCGACGCGACGTTAATCGTTCACCTGCTCGTACGCGAGACCGTCGTTGGAATGTCGCTTTCTGCGTCGGCTTAAAACGCAGCTATCCAACCGGCCAAACGAGATCACGACTACGCAGACTCCCCTTTACGATTCTATTTATTCCGGGACGATAGCGACTGGCGCCGCGATAACAATATAAGCGGCAGCGAAATGTTTGATACTCAACATTCGGCTCAGTTAATTAGTAATTCTGTGAGAAACAAAAAAAGGAGAAAACAAAAAAAAAGGAAGAAAAAAGGACGACGGGTTTCCCTTTTGAATCTGTTCACTGGTTAATTGCAGTCCTCCTGAAAACGACGGTGCTGGGTGCTTGAATTATAAACTGTCGGATTGCTGGCGCGACGATGACGAGAGCAATACATAGTGATAACAGCGACGATAATGACGAAAATAATAAGAGTGAGAAAAATGTCGGCTATTGGAATAAGTATTGCTCTATATTGTAAGGATGATAACGCCGATAATGAAGTCGCGAGCGTGAGTCTTAATCTCGGATTTAGACGCGCGCGCGCGTCAAAGTAATAAATAATCGCATGCTTGTTTGTCCTGACAATTTTCCGCTCATTAAGATCTTCGCAAGAAACGTTGTGTACGATTGGTAGCGCCCCGGGGCGCTAGATTCTTTAACGTTTCGACGAACAAACCATACCGCAGCTTAAACGATTTATAATGATTGGGTAGTGGTAACACAGTAGCTGAACCTAGTTTAACAAATTATGCTTTCTCCGTTTCCCTCAGACGCTTAGCCGTCCCTCCTCCGTGAACTTAACCCCGAGGAACGTATTCCTCCCTGTTATTACGTCGCATAAAGCACAATCACGCGCTACTTTATCAAGACGATCTATCGAAACTGTCGATACCTGATCTTTAGCTTGACATATGATCGTGGAAGTGTTTCGGAATTACCCCGCCAATTTCCGATCAAGAATATTATGAGACGTTATGTTATGAGCAAAACAACGATGTGTGAGTTTTGCGATAGGAGATTGAACAATTGATGGTTTTGGATAATTACATTTTCAAAGCGTCTATATATATATGTCGGAACGTTTCATTCTCCATCTCATTGAACAGATTTACTTTTTCTGGCAGTTTCTTAATTTGAAATTTAATACTTTCACCGGTTTCCAGCGTCCCTGCAATTGGTTCGAGATGTGCTGGTGGTGAAAGTTTCTTAAAATATGCGATATTGAACATTACACAAACTTATGAAAGCGATGACATTCTGCCTCGAATTTGTGTCACGAAAAAAGTCGAAATTTTCGTCTTATATTAAATCCTGCAAATTCTGATGACTTGAAGAATCAACGGAAAATCTCGAAATATAAAATGATATAACACTACACAGGCTACTACTGGTTCTGACTTGCTATAAATGTTTACGTACCGCCGTTTTCTCTAAACAACCGAAAAATGATGTATGTAATAAATACTCGTGTTGTATGAAATAAATATGTGTTAACAAATAACCAGAGACTTAAAAATTACGATTACTTATCAAATAACGACAGACGTATTTGTAAATAATAGCCTTAGAATATATTCTAAATTTCGACTCGGATGTCTCTTTTACAATAACCTATACAGTATTATATCTCGAGATTCTGCATTGATATTTAAAAATGTCGACTCGAGTTTACTATGAACATTTGGAAGCGCGATCATCGAGCTTTTACTTTTAACTTAAGTCTGCTTAATTAGAAAGGATACAACTATCGTGCGTGTAGGAATGCACTTAATAAAACTGGCAGCTCCGGTCTCGCACATGTAAATACATACGAAGTGACATTAATACGAGACTGCGTCTTGAGACTTGTTAAATACACGGCACCATCGCCATGTCGCGAAACAGCAATAAATTCAACAGTGCCGCAAATCGAAAAATCATCATGAAATAAATGAATAGTTCGATCGTCAAAATGAGTGAATAAAATATTTCGCAATGGTTCTGGGCGAATAATCAGTGATCCAGAACCGAGGCGATCTATAAGGGAGGTTTTGCTCGAGAGTCAATTATCTATGGTTACAGTAAGCAAAAACATCGTACCCCTCCATCTTAAATCGCTTCTCACTTGCTTTGGGATACGACAACCGGATCTGCGCGGCGCGTATACTTCATTTATCGATTAATCTCAGCATGCTTTTTCTCACGGACTCGGACCTCGGAAAAATTCGTGCCGGGATATTAAAACGGATTAACGAACGTCGTGGTTGTTTCGCTCGAGAGACGTCCTTTAAATATCTATCTAAATATATTTGTGTGTATATATTGCTCGTACCTGCATATCGTATCACTTCAGGATACGCGAATTAACTCGAATAGTGACTTTGAGTAAATCGAAAACTGCATCGAAGAAAACGACGAAAGATGATTTTCAAGTTACGGTTGGCTGCTCTCCAACCGAGCAGAATTTAGCACTCGTCGGACAGTTAAGACGCATGTGTAATGACGGCTACATTATAATTGCAGAAATATCCAGTAACGATTCCCGCTTGGCGCGACACGTATTTATTACGACGTATTTTAAGCGACGATGGCGATGGCAACGCGTTACGTTGTAAGTCATCAAGCAGGACCGTTCTAATTAGGACGCAGCGCGCGATGCGCATTAGTACCAAACGCAAAAAATCGTCCGAATATTCATCATTTTTATCGATAAATGGGTGTAATATAATGCAACTGTGTGAAATATTTTATTGAAAAACAGCCGATGCATCCCTGACCTTTATATATATTTTCCAAATAAAGGTCATGACGTGATATGATATAATTTAAAAATAGTCAGAAAATTTTGTGGTCTTCACTTATGTTAGTTAATTTGATGTTAATATTTTTTTTTAATTATCGTGTTATATAAAATTTTTCTCTGCAAATAATATTTAACGAAGATGATCTTCGAGCATAATTATCGACAGCCGCGAATTATCTTTTCACGCTTCGCAATCGCGCGTATGAAAGCGAAGGAGAAACTTTCTTTAAGGCATATCACTCTGCAGGAACGCAGCGAAATTATAAATATGAAGCATATGTGGGTCTTGTAAAAGCTGTCGGCGTATTTTAAACACCGCCGCCTTGATACCAAACAGGTTTTCTCTCTCTCGAGTGTTCACGTGATCTTCGAACACGGAGAAACAACATCTTCCATGAAGATAATCAAGACTTTTCTTCCGTGAAGAAAGAGATAGGAAATCGAAACTTTCCATACAGGTGTGTTTCCTCTTCCAAAGTTGTCTTCGCGTGTCGTGGCAAGAATATTCGATGATCTTGTAATCGCAATGTTTATCGTGAAAACATTTGCTCGTGCCAAAACACGATCTCAGGAAATTACCGGGTGCAGATTCCCTCGCAAATGGCGGATAATACACGCGGAAATAGAATTTTACCCGCATTGAAGTTGGCATCCGTTTAACGAGACTCTTTTGAGAGACAGAGAGAGAAATAAACACGCATGATTCACAGTCAAAGTTAGTCGCGGGCGTTAGATACGCCACATGGACTTAATTTATCACCAAGTTCTTTCTGTGAAATAGTTTCAGCGCGACGATTCAAAATAGATAATATATATACAGTTGATTTTTTAAATCAACTTTATTAAAAGATAGATTATTAAAAGATAGTCCAATTTTTTATTTCTCATTAATTTTCTTTTCGCAAATTGCAGATATGACAAACTAATCGTATGTGATTGCATCATAAAGGTTGTTAATATGATTTTAATGCTATCAAATATTTCATAATCATGCGCGATTTTTTGTAGACGCAACAAAAGGTTTCAAAAATAAGTAGCTCTTTTAACATTTACCAACTTCGATGCCGTTAATCATTCTGTCATCCGCAAATATCAGAAATATCTTCGAGTTGTTGCTGCGCTGCTTCCAGTCACGTCTGTATCAATTTTCAAACGCATAAACTTGCGTTATAGAAAATGTGCTTCTCTCCGAGCTTTTAAGCATCATATCGATTCATATCGAAATGTCAGACTAAAATACATTCCGATTACCGAATATACAACATTATGACTTAAACGTGTTCAATCAAGAGCTCGAAAAACAAATAGCAAAATGATGCCAAGTTTCGACAAATTTGACAATTGCAAGTATACAATTCAAGGCGGAAATAAATTTGCGAGAAACAACAAAATTACATTCTGCACGATGGTCCGATGAATAATTTTCGCGTGACGAATTATTGAAACTATGAAAAAGAAAAATTCAGGGATTAACATCTGCATATCACATTTTCTACGTGTGAACAATGACTGAGTTATGCTATCAGGCAGATAAATCTTTCCTTCCTATGACCCTGTATTACTTGGGTTGTATTTATTAAAAGTTAACTAGATAGTATTTATGAAAAATTTTAAATGGAAAGAGATTGTTTGCCTTCCAACTTGTGTTTTTTCTGACAGTTCCCATCATGCTGTACGTTTTCATTTGCACGATAGGGCTATTATTCTGACAGAAACGACAAAACGCAAAAACGTGTCTTACCTCGAGATATACGGCTGATGGCTTCTGCTATATCCGCCTCTGAAGCGTATTCTTGACCATATTTGACGATAGTAGTTACTAAGGACATCAACGGCCAGGCAATGCGGAAGTGGTACATCTCCTTCAGACTGTATTGAAGTAAGATCTCCAGGTTGTCATCTAAAATTGAGAAAAAAACCCGACGTGAAAAACGAGATCAGGGCATGTTGAATCGGTCAACGTAGTAAGAGCGCAACCGCCTATCTCAGAAGTCTGTCTCTCGAAGCAGGTCGCAAACTCATTTTCCGTCGCATCGCGTCAAGTGACTTCAACGCGTGTAAACAGTCAACGATGTTCATCATTCGTAACAGATCGCTTACGACGCACGTCGATCATTCGCAACTACTTCCACCATCGCTCCTCGTGACGAGATTCAGGTTGTACCGCTTTCTACTTGCGTTGTCGGGTAACTATAGCGAGAACTCTCCTACGTAATCAGTACGCCGGTTCTCAATTAGAAAGGTCTTTCTAAGAAGCAATATCCCCGCGAACTTGTCGCTGACATTTATACCGTCGCGGAACACGCCGTTCGAGTCTAGCGCGACACCTCAGCCGTAAAGCGAGCAAGTCAATCAGGAGAAGTGTGCCTCGCATCAACATATTTTCGAACCAAGAGACACAAATTACGCTCTGGCATGGCGTATATATAAAAATAAAGAATGCCCGTCGATTTTTGCAGAGCATCCGACTCCTCCACCGCGTGTTTCCATTGTAGCTTCACCGCTCCGACCTCGTTAAAGTGCATTCACCGACAATAACAGCATTCTATTAATTGCACGAAAACGCACCTCGCGTTTACCACGTGGCCCCGCAAAGAAGGGCGTGCGCGTTCCCCAGTGAAGAACATCCCGCTACGCCTGCGCGAGACCCGTCAGGTCCGACCTCGTGGTGCGGTAATATTGATCCTCAATATTGCTCTGCCACCCGTGTAGAGCGCGGAAGAAGCAACGCGAAAGGACGTGGGGGGGAGAGCTGGGGGGTCTCCGGCGAAGGAAATGGTACTGCGTCACCTCCATCCGACCGCGAAGTCGCGGACAACAGTTCTCCGGCCGTTATGTCATGATATATTAGACATTACAGCAACCAATGGCGGCGCATCTAGTCGTCGTGGCTCCGCCTATTAGGGGACTCCTGCATCGTTTTTAAAATAAGGAAATGCCCCCCCTCCTCGTACCTCACCCCCTTCCTCATTCTCTCACTCTTACATACCATCTCTGCCCCACTACCGACGATGTCGGTAACCCCCTTCCTCCCGCCGAAGCCACTCGTGCGACCCGACGGAATAGACAACGGCGCGATGCAGGTGCCGTGCCGCACCGCGCCGCCGGGACGCCTGGCGTTGGTTCCCTCCTTTTACGCGCGCAGGTGAACCCGGCCAACCACGTGCTGCTGTGCGCGGCGGCGCGTGTACACGACGAGAACGAGCGAGGAAGAATAGAGAGCGATGGGAGGGACTGGTAAGGGTTCCGGGGAGGACGAGGGCGAGCCCGTCGATATGGAGAAGGGAAGAGGAGATCGGGTACATGTGCACCTTTCGATGCCTTTCGTTCTGGCCCGCCGACGTGTTGTTCTGTCAGCGGCGTGCTGGCAGAACCGCGCGCTATTATATCGCGAACTCGCGGTTTCCTCCTCCGCCGCGGTTGAACTGTTCAGGACGCGTACCGGACCTCCGTCATCATCATCCTCTTTTTCTTCTTTCCTTTCTCCGGCCGTCTATTGTCCGCGATGAACTTTTACCGTGCGAAGCCATTTTGCGCGGGCCGCGTTGCGACGCGTGAAATCGAGGACACCGAATCGGCATAGACTTGTAAAAACGGACTTTGCTACGTTTGCTTCTTCATTGTACGGGTGTGTGACTTTCCGAAGATTAAGTAACCAAGTCCAAGTCTGTGCCAAGCGACGAATCACTTATCTTTAAGTTATCTAAATCCAATCCAAAGCAAAATCGGCGGGACTTGTACCAGGGAAATCCAAGTGAATCCGACAGTGGTCATCGCAATAACTGCTCTATTGTTATAATATATGTAGACAGGTCTACTAACCGTATTGCCACCTAGGAAAGATTCTGACAGAAATTCGTCACGTCTCAGAACTGTGGCGATTCTGGCTTAAGTCAGCACGTTCGCTCACATTTCTTCTCAGGACGCGATCGCAAATATAGCACGTGATAACGAAGATAAAAATTTTCTATTTACTATAACGTACTTTGTGATACTTCCGCGTATCAACTAGCGTATCTATCGTTGTCGAAGGAGAACACTGAGTCGGATGCGAATTACCACTAACTCACTGCTGTCGCCGTGAGATTCTCGCTAATCAACGCACTCGAGTTATCAGCATTGGGATCGTTTACGTAACACAAGGGGGGACGAGAGCGGGGACGCCGCTCCCATGTATCTGTGAATGACATGATATCAACATGACAGAATGAACGAGAGACCGGATTATTTGTCCGTGGGCGTTGTATCTCGTCACGATGTTTACATTCATTTTTCATTCGGCCGCTAGACGACTCGCTTCGCGGAAGTGACATACCACGAACCGATGATATCAGCCTGATAATATTTGGATGTGTCTTCGACGCGATGCTCGCGAGAAGACAGAGCGCTCTTACATCGCGCGACGATGACCATTGTTATGAATGGCTGCACGTACTCCGCTGATTACACCGAGCCGTCTCGTGCGAAGAAACACGATATGTTCGCGCAACGAGCCGCCGTAGATAATTTTATGTTGCGGCTGGCACTTGGAGTATTGACGCTGTCGTTGGCTTTCGCCGATATTCAATCCTCTTTCGAGCGCTTATCCTATTCAGCACTGCGACTTCAATTGACGTTACACGCGTAACATCATATGCGACTTGTCTCCACGGTAATAAAAAGGTTACACTTCCGTTTCATCTTAACGGTTGCATTCACAGCTCCGTTATATTTTCATCGTGTAAACAGTGACGCGTCAAAAATGCATTTCTATTATGCATATAATGCAACGGAAAGCGTGAAAAGCCTAACGCGAATAAATGCAATGTCTATCCGGCGCAACGCTCATCGAAGCGTTGAGGAAACGCGGCGTTTCACTTCGCGAAAATACGTTACAATGAGCCGGAAGGAAAATGCGGAACATATTATCTTTCTCTTTATGTTATCACGGCAATCTTCGAACGAAGTGGTTCCGAAGGAAACACATCGAGATAGGTCGACATGACAAATTAGTTTTGAGCAGCGACTGTTATCTCGTGGAACTAATTTCCATCGGCCGCACGTAAATATTGTCGCATGAGGGAAAGATATGTGGCCTACATCGAAACCGGTCTAGGCGTAGCTATGTGCTAAAGATATCCTTGAAAACTCAATAAAATGAACAAGAGCACTGTTCGAAACGGGGTCTGCGGTGAGTTTCTATCGTTGCGCGTTTCTACGGCGGGAAAATGTTGCCTTGGATCGCGCAATAAAAGTGTCCTTAAAGTGCAATAAAAATATTGTGCGCTACAGATACATATGGTCTTATCAGTGCGCTATCGGCACCGTAAAGATATCATAATTGAATAAGTAGCGAAAGTTTAACATCTATCGCTCGTTATCGCGACGGACGACGCGATAACAACCAGGACTCTGCAGATTGTAACGAGAAAATTAGAACACATTCGATACATCGCGAAACTGTATTATCGTCGAAGAACATGAAATGGGGATCGAATTACATAGGAGTCGACGACATCAGTTGATCCCTTCGCAATTTTATTTGCGAAGAACGTCTCGTACAAAAAAATTCATAGCCGTAGATAAAACGGTGGAAATCGCGAGCGTTATATTTAGCATGCTACGTGGTAAACAGATAATGCTTATAGCGTAATATCGCAGCTTCTCTCAGGATAAGTGCGATCATTCGCGGTGGTCGTCGTATATATAGCGAGTACCAAAATTCCCGCATACGGAATATACACTAGGGAATTTTTGACACCGAAAGAAAAAAACTGTTTTTCTTTATCAAAATTGCGCTCGAATAATAGTATACGAGAAATAAACGATTGAGAAAAATGGGATTTTTCGCGAGCTAAACTTCAAGTGAACCAAATTATCTTATTCGATCAATTTCAAGCAGACTTTACTTAAACCAAATTTTTATTTAACGCTTAGCTTCAAAGATGTGTTATGTTGAAAATTGAAAAGTCACTATAAATTACGATATTTTGCGATATTTTCGTCAAGGAAAAAGCTACTTCTTCTGGTATGAAAAATCTCTCTGTCCCTCTTATTTTGTGATCCTCCGCATACGGGAATTTTGGGACACTGTATAAAACGATTCGCGATTAAAGTGCATAAGCATACGCGTCGCGTGAAGCAGTGGAAGTTAGAAAACGCGATCGATAGTGTCTGATAACGAGATTTTCGATAAGCAATACGACGACAATTGCAGTTGCACATAGTGCATGCGTCAATGCGAGCGTTTCGAGGAAATTCAATGTTCGTCACGTTATGTAATATGACGGACGACAAATTAAAAAGTAACAGATGTTCGCGCGCGGTCGGTAAAAATTATCGCGCCAGTGGTTCTCATTTGCGCGAAAATTGAACATTTTTACAAGAGTAGACCGCTATAAATACCAAGCAAGACGTTTATATATGGACATACCGTTACGTCTAGTACTATAAAAACTAACATTACGATTGTGACTCATATGAGGAGAGGGGGAGGAGGGTTCCCGGTATCAATTGTATGACTGTTTATAGAAACGGAGCTTTCTGTAGTGTTGCGTCAACTATTAAATTTCAGCTATTCCTTTTATATCCTTCTTATCTTTCGGCCTGTGTGACGAGAATCGTGTCACCTGTCACTTCGCACTCGACTTATCGCACCCGGTCGCGTCTAGTATTGGATCATAAAAAAGATAGTAATTAGTAAGCGTCGATCTGTTCAGCCAACAAAGACAATTATGCGAGTTTTACGACGGTGGACTCTTTAATCGCACGAGAACGCTCGTTAAGAACCGACGCCGCCGTCGCGTCAGATTCGACCTTAACGAAGGCAGAACGCCGCCGACTTTGTTAGATCCTCGTAAAACGTCGTGTTCCTTAACCCATGCCACGAAAAATTTCTTGAGGTCGGAGTGCATGTCGTAA